CACAAAGACAGCCCATATGCGGCTGGGAATGGACAGGCAAGCATTAAAAGAGAAGGCTCATTGCCCATGAGCCCTTCCCTGATCCTGGCCTCTGAGAGTATGCTGTTCCTCTGTCGTAATTGTTTAAATATTACTCCTGGACATACCTTGCCTTCTGGGCTCAACTGTAAGCTCCTTATGGACCGGGCTTAGGCCTTGAGAGACAATGCATGGCAGCAGTAAAGATGCTACCACTAGAGCTGGTCAACCTTGACCAAGTCACTTATTGTCTCTGTGCCTCAGTTTCCCCATCCATGAAATGGAGATAATAATAGTGTCTACCTCAGAAGACCACAATGAGGATTAAATGAGTTAATACACAGTAAGTGAGAACTACCGATCATCTCTAAATTTCTTTTAGGGCCCAAATGGCATAAAGCTTCTCACACAGTAGATGCTTATTAAATATCTGCAGAGTGACCTGCCCTGGAGTTGTGTTTTCCATTCCTCTCACCCCCATCCTAACTTTCCTGTCTTTTGTGAAAGGTAAGTAAGTCATTGCCTCATTCTGAGCGCTTTAGGGGAATACAAACAGCCCATCTAAAACTAATGTAAAAAACAAAATAAAACAAATAATCTTCAAATTTTCTTTAACTATATTAAAAGAGACTGCCCACTAACAGCAGTATAACCAGATAATTTCCAGCTTTCCCCGTCATTTTGAGCCAAGTAGTTTTCACCCACTCCAAAGTCAAGGCTCACTAATCCTACTTTTTTTCCCCCCTATAAATATAAATGGGAAGCCAAACTTCAGGAAGCTGTGCTGTGTGTGTGTGTGTGTGTGTGTGAGACATTTAAAAAGAGTCCATAGAAAGCCTTCGGAAAAGCCTCTAAAGTTATAAAACACATCCATATTAATGTGATTTATCTAAGTACAGTAAATGAATTGCCACAAAAATGAACAATTGCTCCAGAGTCAAGTAGGTGGCACAATGTGATTTACGCATATCACGTGAAATGAATAAATCAACAGTGGGAAAGATCAAAGGAAATGCTGGAATTGTTGTTACTATGTACAGGGCCTCACTGAAAAGCTTCTTAATATAACTGTTTAGAGGAAAACAGAAGGATGGTTTGTTTAAATGACAACAGATAATGCATGCACGGAATTTCAAAAGCAACATTCGTTTTCATACACGCACGTATTAGGTTTAGCTAAAATTAGCTCATGTTCCTTTCTTTTTTAAATGTCTTAAAGGAATAAAGGTTTCAACAAGATTTCATTGGGCTGAGACTCCAAAGTGCCTGAGCTTCCAGGGCAGACCCCCCCCCCACTACCCATCCATGCATCATCCCCACTTCTCCACCCACCCACCCTCCACCCCAGTCTTAAAGAGGAAGCACACAAAGGCTGTGCCACTCCAACATTACAGCTTCTCTTCCATGCCTCTTGCCTTCTCTCTCTGTATTCTGCACCAGCTGATGTCACCTCTGAGGTACAGTCATCCCCTTCTGCCTGTCAAACCTTCTGCCACACACAAAACCCAAAGCCCAATTTCCAAGATCACTTTCATGCCAGACTCCTCCAAATTTATCTCCAGACCTGACCTGTCAGCAATTTTATTCCCACACCCTGTACTGTCTGCTGGGCTCCAGCAACTCAGATGTCCACCAGCACCTGTGCTTCAGCCAAAGGGGCCTTGTCAGTTACACACCATGCACTCCCTGTCATATCCCAGCCACTTCAATGGTCTTCCTCCAGCTCTATCCATCTCTACCCACAGAAATGCTAACCAGCCGTCAGAGCTGAACTCAAATGATCCCCCCTCCTCAGTCTTTCCTCGTCATCCTACTCAGCATCATTCTTCTGAATTCCTTCTGTGTTAGAACGTACCCCAGGAAGTACAACCACCCCATTCTGCTTTGTCTTAGTTTTTTCCAAGCATTTCTTCTTTCACCTACCTGACCACAAAGAACACATAGAGTATAGCCTCTTTTGGGTGGTTGTTACTCACTTTCATACCCACAGCACCGTGTAGTAGTTTAAAAAAATACACAATGAATACATGAATGAATCATTTCTTAATAGAGAAAGTGCCTGTGAACAAGTTATGCCAGAACTTTCCTATAACCGTATCTTATTTGCAAAATAACTAGAACCAGGGATATTGTAATTTAGGTTTTTAGAAAAACTTTAATGAATATAACAGAATACAACATGAATGACATGATTTCCCTGCCCACATTTAGCCATCAATTGTGAGGACTCTACGGAGGACATTATTTATGCAAAATGTTTAAATAATGCTTTATTAGCTTACTTTAAATGCAATCACTGAAAATGTCAGTTGCTTGGAATTCAAGGTGACTCTGCACTACTTTGTCAGTAATACAATACAAATATTTGTAAGACACTTACTGGTAGACTTGCTTAATATAATGTAAAAACTTCAGTATTGCCGAAACCGGTTTGGCTCAGTGGATAGAGCGTCGGCCTGCGGACTGAAAGGTCCCGGGTTCGATTCCGGTCAAGGGCATGTACCTGGGTTGCGGGCACTTCCCCAGTGGGGTGTGTGCAGGAGGCAGCTGGTCGATGTTTCTCTCTCATGGATGTTTCTAACTCTCTATCTCTCTCCCTTCCTCTCTGTAAAAAATCAATAAAATATATTAAAAAAAAAACAAACAAAAAAAACCTTCAGTATCACCTCAATAAGTTTGCACATATTGGCCAAGAGATATGACTTTCTGATGCCTGAATTTTCACAATAAAATTATTTTAAACACCACAAGGTTTTTAAAAATTGCACATGTATTAACCACATATTCAATTAAACTACTTCCTTAAAAAGCTTAAATGTGAGGATTTTCTGCCTAGCATATAATTGTAAAAATGGTTAACATCCCTAAGAGATAAAATAACAGTGAGGCATGTCACCATTTTTTATTCAGGTGGCAGAGACCTTAAGAAGTTTATCTTTGGCCGTAGCCGGTTTGGCTCAGTGGATAGAGCATTAACCCCCAGACTGAAGGGTCCCGAGTTCAATTCTGGTCAAGGGCACATACCTCAGTTACAGGCTCATCCCCCACCCTGGTCTGGGTGCATGCAGAGGCAACCAAAGGATGTTTCTCTGTTTCTCCCCCTCCCTTCTACTCTCTCTAAAACTCAATGGAAAAATATCCTTGGGTGAGGATTAACAACAACAAAAGCAGCTTACCTTTGCATGTAACTGCAGGGTGATCCTATTTCCTTTCACAGACCATCTCCCTAATCCACAGCCAATAAAATGTCAAGTACCCAGTTCTAAACTCTACAAGGATATAATGTGATAACTTCCTCCCTCCTCTGCTCCCCTCCCAACAGACTTCTCTGACTATCCTTTCTGGGACATAGTACTTCAGTCACTCAAGTTTTGCTTGTTTTTACTCAAATCACAAATAACTTATCATGTGCATACAACTCATCAGTTCATCTTACAACAATATAAAAACAATACATGAGAATCCTATCCCAGTAAGAGAGTTGGATGAACACAAAATTCAGAAAAACAAATAAGTCTCATTTGTTGCGCAGAGCTACAGGGTTGGTCCAAAGATCAAGGTATAGGTATGTTTACTTGCTCCTAATCATAAATGGTCCAGGAGCAACCATCACAATACAAGACTATTAGAATTACCCTGTCAAGACATAAGTTACTTGATGTTCATGGATCATAAACCATATACGCCAGGCATTATCCTACCCTATACATGTATATTATTTCACTCCATCCTCACAGCAGCCCTAGGATAAAGTTCTAATATTATCTCCATTTTTAAGACAAAGACACTGAGGCATCAAAAGGTTATAGAATGGCCCAAGGTCACAGTGGCTGCTCTAAATGTAAAGCCAGACAGGCTGGTCCCAGAGCCCCATGCTCTTACCTAGATGCCACAGAATTTACATGTAACTTACAAGCTGGAACTTAGATAAAGAGAGGGAGTTCTTTATTTAAAGAAAGCTGAAGAATTATTTTCAAGATGAACATTTTGGTAAAGCAAATGTCCATCTTGTAACAAATTAGTTGAAAATCCATATTTTTATGGAAGCTTAATGGAAGGTAGACTTTGCATCTCACCAAGGAAGGAAGTAGAACAGTTCTCAGGAAGAGCTGCCTGGAGTCCACCCATCCAAGCTGTTCCCAAGCCTGAGGAGCCTCAGTCTGATTCCAAGAGACCATGAAGGTTCATTTCGATTCAATAGGTCTAGGGTTGAGTTCCAAATTCTATTTTTTTAAGCTCCCAGGTGATTCTGTTGCCCAGTCAGGCTTAGGAACCTCTGAACTAGTCTATTTCCACAGCTTCCAGCAGGACTGCTCCCAAGGCAAATAGAAACAGGGAATCTATTTCACAATTGCCTTTGGTTGCGTACACCAGTGTTCCCAAACCCTTAGTGCCCCAACTTGTGCCTAACTTCCATCTCTCCTGACTCCCTTTAGGCAGTATTCTCTTGTCCTCTCTTCAACAGAGAAGCATGAGTCATCAACCCTGCATACACCCGGTGTCTGCATGACTTTCCACGCCAGAAAAATTTACTGTACGTGAGGAAATCAGGAAGTTGTAAAATCCAGACAGAGACAGAGAAATTCAAGATTCAACAAATACTGGTTGCTATTGAACAAAGAGGCCTCTTGCACATGTGGCACTCTTCAACAAAAAACTAAACCATGAAAACTGTGCATTCTCATTGCATTAAGTACAAGTGAGAACTAAAAAGATCAGGCTCGAGCCCAGCACACAATGGTCAATCATCACAAAATCAAATGTTAACTTCTTCATTAGCCAAACAAAATGAAACCAAAAAGAGAGATACTTCAACCCAACTTTTATAAAAACTCTCTTGGCAATCTATTTCCAACACAATATGTTTGCAAAGACAATTATATTAAACAGTCCACAAAGTGCTAATGGCTAGCTAGTAGGTGATTTTTCCAGGCCAGACTTTATCTTCAGATGGGAACTAGCAAGCATCACAAAACTCTCACCTGATATGTGGCGCACTTCTCTGGAGTGGCTGTGGAGGAGACTGCTGTACAAGGATGACAAACAAGTCTGCAGTTTGAATGGACCACCTTGGTGACTTGCTGCACGGTGCTCCTACAATGGTCCAGGAAGCGCAGAAGAGGAAATCAAAATGAAAAACAGAACAGATTGTTTTAAAAAGTAATTCCACTTAAGTGTCAATGCACTGAAATCTTCACTCTTAAGAACACCAAATTTTGCATTTTATTTCAGGAGAATCACACATATACCAGCCAGCTCAAAAGGCAGGTCTGGTTTTACTCAACGGGGCCTCGGAGGGAGGCCAACACACAAAAAGGTCATCCCCTCAATCAAATTAAGAGCTCGGTCTCCCCATTTGAGCCAACTACTGTCATTCTTTTCTCTAATGATTCTAACCAATCATCTGATCAACACATGCTGGTAATCACAACAATATCAGGTGACAATGAATATGGATTGAATAACAGTTGAGCCAAAGTCTAATTTTAATGTGGCATATATTACTATCAACATGCAACATAAGGGACAATCATAAAAAAAAAGCACAGTTATTAGCATACCAATCTAATGGGATAGAAGAATGTAACACAGGCAGAAAAAAATTTTAAAAGAATACACATAGTCACTAGACTTTCCACTAAACTTTAAAGCATTTCATTATTAAATGTATGTCTATTTCATTTTCATTTTTCCATAATGCCTTGCACATGGTAAAGTAAAAATTTTCTTATGTATAATGAATGTGTGAATGGATGAATGAAAAAGGGGATGAATGAATCTTCCATATACCTTTCCATCAGGGAGCTTGGTGCTTGTAGTTTTTGTGAGGTAAAGACCTATGCATAGAAATGGAAGAAGTTGAGGACTTGATCTGCTAACAGTTTCCAGCACCATCTATTAAGATAATATGTTTAGATACTGGTAATTCCACATTACAGAATCAGTAGCACAGTTATTATTAAGTATTCCCAAACTAGTCATCGCTGGACTGATTTCCAGTCTTTGATTACTGGAACTGATCTGCACATTTGTTTAGGCTGATTTTAAATTTAGTTTGGGCTTCCTAAGCCCATGCCAGGTAACAGTAGGAAGGAGAAAGCCCAGGATTATATTGGGAGTCAGAAAGAAACTATTCTGGAGCTATGAATATGATCTCCAATGTGAATAATCTGTAAACAGGTAGTGAGCCAATTATCCTTGGGTACATGGCAACACATCTCAGTAGTCATGATTATTTTCATCCATACACACTCACTATTTTTAAGAGCACAACCCAGCTGGAAAGGAAAATAATTTCAGTAGCTTTCCAACACTTTTCAAAGTAATGAATAGTAGCCAAAATATTCTTACTTCTAACTAATCCATTCACCAAGTATTTATTTAAGCATCTATTATTGCATGCCGGGGACTTATAATCAAAAGAAGTTCCATTTCCAGGCCTTGGTTTTAACCAGGTGTAATCTGTGAGTACAGAAAAAGAAGGTAAACTGTACCAAACTAAAACGTCTTTGAAGACACTATCCCTCTACTAAAAAGCTTGTTGGGTTACAAATGTAAATAGTGGCCAAATTAAATAGATGCTCACAAAATTCTATTTACTCTTATACAGTAATTGTTTTAAGGGGAGGAGTCTTGATTTGATCTAGTAACATCAAATGAAGCATCAGAACACTGAATAATCACTTTTGAACAAGGTGTAGGTACTGCAGACTCGCAGGCAGCACTTGCTTTCTGAGCTAACAATTGTGAGGGTGTTTGCCTGTATATATCAATGTGTGTGCACACAACCCCATTTACATATCACCGGACAGATAAGGTTTTATAGAGTCCAAATTACAGTCTCCTCCTATTCTGCTGAAGTGCAGAGAACAAACATGATGCAAATGCTGTAAAATATTAATTTACTTTCTCATTGGTATGCCTACTTATTTAAAAAATATTTGTATTATTTGTATTGCTACATCAGTTAAAGTAATTAAGAAAGTTAACATAACTTGCTGTATTCTTTTAAAGGAAAGAAACACAAGAATACACAAGAGCAAGAATGAATGGATGCATAGTAAAATAATACAAGCAATATAAAAGAAAATAACCTATTAACTATTTTATACAATATATACACTAAGCATGGAATATTTAATATTTTAAAAGCAGAGCAACCTAACACAATACCACTAATAGTGGGAGATTAGTAAGAAAGATGGCCTAAATAATATTTATGCGCTGGTCAATAAAGAGGAGATAATAGGTAAGTAATGTAAACACGGGAGATACTATAAATACTTCGGAGAGAGTAGGCCAAAGCTCAGGGTGCAACAAAAGAAAAACTACCATATACAGTGACCAAAAAAAATACACTTTCATTGAATGCTAGAAGCATAAATGCTTCTGGGTCGGCAGCAGTGTCAATTATTATTAAAAACTTCTGCTAAATGACTCCCTCAAAACATGTCATGTTAAAGAGCACCTAAGAAGAAGAAGAAAAAAAAAAAAAGAGTTCCTCTTAGCCTGAATCAAAAGACCACAACCAGGAGAGCCTCTGGCCCCGTAAGTCTCAACCTCTGATTACACTACAATGAATTTTCTGAACAGTAATTTTCAGGTAGGATGCAATTTTTGCTTACATTATGGCAATTATCATTGCATTTTCATTACTCCACAAATTGGATGCATTAAAAGTTATAGAAAAATCAATGAAACATTTCTGCTAACATCAAACATGTCAAAGAAAATATAATGCTCATTGCTTTTTTGCCTGTAACATTTCTAAACATGTTTTAGCATATTAGTAATGGTAATATATAGTACAAATATTTATTGTACATTAACTTGAAAAGTTCAGGTTTATAAGGATTATAAAATATATACAGTGATAAAAGACAAAAAATATATAAATTATGAAATAAAAAGGGTTTTTAAAGAACTGTTTTCACAAATAACAATTACTTGCTAAATCATTTTTTTAATTTTTATTGATTGATTTTAGATAAAGAGGAAGGGAGAGAAAGAGAGAGAGGAGGACCATCGACTTGTTGTTCCACTTATTTATCACTCATTGGTTGATTCTTGTATGTTCCCTGACTGGGCATCAAACCTGCAACCTTGATATATAGGGACAACATGCTAACCAACTGAGAGACCCCCCAGGAATACCTAAATCTTTTTATTGCTCCTATAATTTTAAGCACATATTAAAATTATAGAACATATAAGCATATATATGTATATATCCAATTACAACTCTTTCAGCCAACATTTAAAAAGTCTCTAAAACTAGCACTCAGTATACTCATTATTATATCCTCTCTTAAAGAATTTTTGAATGAGTATTGTATTAAACTGAATTTAATGAATCTAAAATTTGAACAGCATAATTTCTATTGCTTTCCAACCTCATTCTTAAGAAGAAAAAAAGGGCAGTCCTGTATGTAATACCTTAGAACAGAAATTACTTCTCTATTGGGATTTTTAGATGATTTATTATTTTCAATGCTTTTAACAAAATAAGGAGGGCCACTTCTGATAACTGAAAGTATGACCAGTACTAAATCTGTTCTTTGAAGCAATTAAACTGCACATATCTAAATCTCTCACAGAAGCCAACCATTCAAATCATTGAATTATTCTGAAAACATAAAGCAACAGAAACAAAATTATCTCTCTCACCCCTAAAAATTATCTTCTGTCTTATGGCACTATGTCAGTTTATGTATGCAGGTATTTAAGCTCTCCAGAACCTAAACTATGTTATTACTTTCAAACAACTGTAATTTAAAGAATTAACATTCACTCCTACATTTACCTAATTTAGAAAGATACATTTATTGACTAACCTCTATGAGGAAACACGGGGAGCTGGTGTCACAATATGTTAGTCATCAGACTGTCATTGAAGTTAAGTGCCAAAGTAAAATCCACTTGACATTTCAGAATGGAAAAAAAAATAAAGGCACATTATACAAAAGGAATGTGAGTCCTTAAACTCTGTAATGACAACAAAAACAGGAGTCACAGAACTATGTTCACTAACATTTTAATAATCTCTTCAGGCTGACCTTTCCCAGGACTCCCAAACAACTGAGGAAGGTATATTGAAACACAGGGCCATCTACAGGCATTTGACGTATAATCCCAGGGCTAAAGAGTTTTTCTTGAACCTTTCTCTAGTAAAAGACAATTCAGAATCCCTGAAGCCAATTTATAATATTTCTGATAAAGTATCACTTCTGTTTACCAAACCCTCTTAAAACGAAATCCAGAGAGAAAAATATTAACTGTTCACAGTTCCCAATCAGGTACATTTCTCATCCTTACTTTAGCATGAATTTATGCATTCAAAAATACATGTTCACATTTTTAGGGCAAGTAAAAACGATTTTCTGTAAGTCGCAAAATATCCAGGACCTCCAAGGTGCTGGGTAAAACTTACACTTCTGTACCTTATTTTATATTCTTGCATCCCATCTGTTTACCTCCTAGGAATAACAGTAGCTCCTCGTTTTAACCACTGCAATTGAGTAGGCCACAATCTAGTTACCAAACACATAAACTCACTACTAGAAACTGGTAACCTCACACCCCACCCTTGGCCCCAAGGGGAAAAGGATTTACCAATTTAGCTTGGGGACCAGTGGCAGGGTCACAACTAAATCAAGGCGTGATTTCAATTATTTTTACTTTCAAATATCAAGGTTACTAAAATACTTCCCTTTATTTGGATTGCCTGAGCAACACAGAGTTTCCACAACCAAAGCTAATTTTCTTTTCTTTTTGTAACAGTATTACTTGTCTTTGCTTAACAGGTTTAATAAGGTGGTGCCCTAATACAAAGAGTGGACTGCTGCTCTCTAAATTATAAAATGCTCATTAAATTATATCCCAAAATAGAGCAGAAGTTGTTTATTGTGCAAAAGCACCACACATTATCAGTCTACCAGCTACAGGCCTGTACGATCTCTTTCCTGAGACACAAACCTTTTCACTTACTACCACAGATTGAAGATCATGGCCAAAAGGTCCAAATGAAGCACATCAAAACATTCAGAATGGCTGCCTACTGTCAGTCCCATTTTTTGCTATTATGACGGCTGTAAAGTTTTAAAATGTGACAATGGGGATAACTTTCCCAAATAAATTACTTCCACTGAGTAAACCCTTTACAAAACCAGTCATGACTACTGGTAACTTAGGTTCTAAAGAATGAACACTTCCGCCCTTGAAAGGGTTAATGCCGGCAAGGCCAATGGCACCAGAAGGCAAAAGAAATGTTGCTTTAGTCAGCTCTGAAAGGTTTCTAACAAGTACCAAATACTTGTTGAACTGTTCACAATAAACACCAGCAGGATTGTCGGGCTCCTTTCACTGTCTGGGAGAGGCATTTACATACTGCACCCAGTAAGAACAGCTTGTTGGTCTCCTTTATAAGAGTATGGATAAGACGCATTCCGTGTCTCCCGTCCAAATGAAGGCGCAATTGAAATAGTGAAGTCTCTCTGGTCTGGCTTGGGCAGCACAAATACTGTGCATAAAACACTTGGAATAGTCCAGGCACAAAACAAACCCACCTGAAGGGAGGAGGAACAGTGCCCGTTGCCATGGCAGCCTGATCTAATTACATGAGTGATGGGGTTGGAGTAAGTGCTCCGAAAACCTACACCACTGACCATATCTACAAGAGGAGAAAGACAGGCAGGCAGGAGGTTCAGGGGGCGACTTCAACCTCTGCTTTACGTAGAAGGGGGCATTTAAGCCCATTTGTCTGTGGAGCTGTTAAAATACTGACTGATGCATGCACAGAGGGCAGTCAGAGGAGATTAAATGCCACAGCATTGGCCATTACGGTGCAATCCTTTCCAAGAGTTCATGTGCAGGATTTTCTCATCCTCCTCTCTGGTGGTTTCCCCAGGCATGCGTTTCATTCCACACACACACACACACACACACACACACACACACACACAGACACTAAGCTCAAGTATCAAACTTCCTTCGCCCACCAAATAAACCACAAGGTGGGCTTTACCAGGGGCTTCTAGGAACTGCAAGGTTCCTCATAAACCCAAACAGAAATGGCTTAGCTAACAGTGTTGAAAAGTAACTAGCTGAGCCTAAAAATAACCATCAAGTAACCACCCTCTGCTGTGTGCGACATGTAACGATGATGTTTAAATATTAAGAGCACCCTGCATTATAAAACACAAATGTCATTGAGCTGTGACTACTAGATTGCCAAAGGAGGACTTATTTGCATACACACATTCCCGTGCATGCACGACAGGATGTGCAGGGAGTATGCCACTCTAAGGCATTAGTTTTGATTCTGTGGGTGTAATGGGGGTCTTATAATGTTGCTAACTGTACCCTGTGGATCTCGCAGGGAAGCTAAGAATCTCTTCGGGGACAGAACCAGTTTGGAGAGGAGTCCCTACTGCACAGCATACGGTAAACAAAATAAAAATAGCTTGCCGTTCTCCTTAGCCACATCGCGCATTATATAACCAGCTTCCGACTGGCTTTTTTTTTTTCTTGCCCTTACTACTCTTCAGCAATTTCCCAATCTTCCGAAGTATTTATATTACCCTCTTATCTGTAGGATTATATACTAAGAAAGCAAAACAAAACAGAGCCGCCGCGGGATTGAACCGAACTCCACAGTCCTTAGAAACTGATTTTTTGTTGTTTTCTGGCTGGATCTCCACCACCACCCTACTTCCACCCCCAACCGAGGTGCCTGCTCCATCTCCCTAGAAAACCTGGTTTGTTCCATCCCTTCCAGCCAGCCCCCTACGTGGTCGGAAATAAAATGAAAGCACCAGCCGCGGAGTTCGGGCTGGCGGCCTGAGGGCGGAGGGAGGCTGAGGAGGGGTCGGGCGCAGCAGTCAGCCAAGTGGCTTCAAAGGGCCCCCTCCCCACCGCGACGGCCCCGGCGGACCCCCACCGCCCGCGCGGGCACACACACACACGCACTCACACGCGCGCTCGCTCGCTCACACTCCCGCCGCGCTCCGTCGCCTCCTCACCTCTTGCTCCGCCCGGCCGGCCCCTTCCCTGCCCCCTGCAGGGCCGGCCTGCGCGCAGCGCTGGGACCACGTAGGAGGCGGCGCGGCCGCGGGAGTTGCTGGGTCTCCGGTCGGGCCCCGAGGAGCAGAGGGGCTCCTGGGTGCATCCCAGTCCCCGCAGCGCCTCCACCGCCGCCGCCTCCTTCCCCTCCTCCCGGCTTCATTCACCCTCCCAGCAGCCGCGCAGCCGTTCACTCCCGGCGCCGGCAGGGCAGCGCCTGCTGCCGCTCCTCGGCTCCTGCCGCCGGCGCAGGCGGGGGCGCGGGCCCGGGCTGGGGCGCTCATGGGCTCCCGGCTCCGGCGGCGCGGCGGCTGCACAGGATCAGGAAGCGGCCGTACCAACAGGGCCGCCAGCGCCACTCCGGCCGAGCTCCCAGCACCCGCGCCCCCGCGCCCATCCTCCGCGTCCCCCGCGCTCCCACTGCCTGCGCCCCGCCGCGCGCAGCGTCCCGGCTCCGCCGCCGCCGCCGCTGACCCCTCCGGGTCCACAGCCGCACGCCCGGCGATGCCGGCTCCCAGAAGACCCGCGCCCCGGGGCACGGAGGCCGGGCGGCCGCTAGCGGAGCAACCTAGTCCTCCTTCAGACCCGCTGGCTCCCATCGCTCTCTTTGGGGAGAAGGGTGGGGAGGGGTCGGCGGGAGGAGCGGGCAGCGCGACCCCGGCCGCCGCCTCCTCCCTTTACCCCACCTCCAGGGAGGAGGACATGACTCTCCGCATTCGCAACCAGACCAGCAGCCGCCCAAGCGGGGTGCCGCCGCCGCTCTCCCGGCCCGCACCCCCAGCCCGGGCGCGCCCCCTCGCCCGGCGGGCGCCCACCTGGTCCCCCGCGGTCCCCCTGCTGGTCATCCCCGCGCCCAGAGCGGAGTGTCGGCCTGGGAGGCTGAAGCCGGGGAAGGTTGTATGTACACACACACACACACACACACACACAAACAACACAACACGCTGCGTCGATTTCCTTCTTTCCTCTTCAAGCTGTTTTCCGTGCTGCCTTTGGGGGTTTGGGATTTGTTTGCTGGTTGTTGCTTTGGCCCCTCTCAGGAGAGCGGGGGTAGGGGGGGGATCTTAATCTAAATCGGGGGAGAAGGGGATGGGGGAGGGGGAGAGACAGAATCAGAGGAGAAAAAAAATCGCCACTTACTGTAAAGTGTAAATGGATCTGGGGTGGCGTGGGGAAGGGGGGGCAGAGGGAGAGAAACAGTGTCTTGCGGCTGCTGTAGCTCTGGCTGCTGCTCCAAGGGGCTTGTTTTGGATCCCCCTGCAGTGAAACAGGTCCTGTACGGCTCCGCCACTGTAGTAGAAATGATGTCTGCGGTATACTCTGCTCTCTCCTCCTCCTCCTCCTCCCCCCACTCCCTTCCCCTCCCCTCCCCTCCCCTCCCTCCTCCCTCCCTCGCGCTCTCTCGCGCTCGCAAGCTCGCTCCAGTATGTAAATGTGTAATAGAAGCCAAATATGGAGCAGTTGGCTGCCGCCGCCGCAGCTCAAGGATCCGACGGGAGGGCGGGAGGAGGGGGGGGCACCCTCCGGCGGGCGGCGGGGCCAGCGGCTCGAGCCGGGCGAGCGCACGGCGAGCGGCAGACCCGCGCCCTTAACCCTTCGGTGCGCGTGGCCCCGGTTCGGAGGCCCTCTGGGAGGCGGGCGCGTGTCCCCGAGACTGATTAGGAATGGAGGGGCGGGAGCGGGAGGGGAGACACCGCCGGAGGGGACAGTTCTTTCAGGTTTGGGAAAGGGGCGGGGAGCTGAGGCGATGAGGTCATCGTGGCGGTGACCGGTCGTCCTCGCGCGCCTCCCCGAGTCCCAGCACCTCTGGAGGAGACAGCGCGACAACAGGGTGCAACTCGGGCACCCTGGAGGAATCTCCAGCTCCGAGGCGGCGAATAACCCCGGGAGGAGGGGAGGCGGCCAACGCTGATCCCTAGGCGCCCTTCGTCCCGGGCGTGCGGAGAAGCTGACAACCCGGGCGGACTGCGACCCACGCGCACTTTCACCTCGTAAGGGTTCAGCTTCGGCGATCCGGAACCCAGACCACCGGGCCGCGGGGAGTGCCTTTGCGTGCAACTCTAGAAAGTTTTAAGGGTCCCCCCAACTGCACATGCAGCCTTACCTTTACCGCCTGGGGAAGCTGGTGACCTCCCTTACCTCCTTTCTCTTCCTGCGAGTCCGGAAATCTGCTGTGGGTATGGAACTACCTAGCTCTAGTCCTCGTCGAGGACCCCGTCTTCCTCGCGCAGCGTATTCGGGATCATTAATTTAATCGGAAATGAGGTAACCAGTGTAGGAGATTGAGAAAGCAAACCGAGCATCAAATGGCAGTTCTGGGTGAATCCACGCTGAAGGACTTCCTCTGGACTCGATTTTTTAAAGTGCGGTTCTCAATCCCCTACCTCCCAGCCCTGATCCTTCCACCTGGTGTTAGCTCCAAGGGAAGGAATATTCTTGGGGGGGGGGGGGTGCATCTTGCCCACAGGTGTGGCACTTGGAGCAAAAGAAGTCACATTCCTGCTAAAAGGAGCTTACTGTGGCACACCCCTTGCAGATAATTCCGGAGGACTAGTAGGTGTCGGGCAGCATATGACCTTCAGGTGCTTAGAACCAAGTATCCAAGTAAGTTTCTCTCTGAAAGCCACCACTTTTGACTGTACGCTGTATTAGAGAAACCTTTTGGCTGAGTTTACTTATGAGCTAGCGGTTAGTCACCAACAGAAGCAAGATACAGACTCGCCAAGAGAAATGTGTCAGCTTTTAAACAATTGTATTGTAGAACCAACGTGCTACAGAAATAAAAATAAGCATGCTAACTGGGAAGGTGTCGAGCCCCGGCAATATTTTTTTCCTCACACTTTGAAATACCATACACATATACATGGCTATTTAAATAGAACTACTACTGTTCACTCTTACTCGCTTTACAACTTTTTTTTTTTCATTTAAAAATAATTGTTTATAGTTTAAAGACCCAGGGTTGGTCTAAAATGACATTGTTGGTCTCATTACAGCCTCTAGTGGACAGTTAAAATGAGTTTCCTGAAAAGGCTCTTCTGGTGTTGTGCTCCTTGACAAGCTTTATCAAGGTGAATGTTAATACCTCAGACATAACCTGGTAATATCTCTTCCCCCCACTTTGCAGAGCCGGCTTCTGAAAGGAGCTTTATGCTGCAGGTATTATTATTACTGGCCTGTGAATAAACAGAGAGCTTCTGCTATTCATTTCAATTTCAGACAGTTTTCATAAAAACTGAACTCATCTAAATTATTTTTATGACAGAATGTATTGGTTGCCGTGTTTTTGGCTTAACTGAGATGTTTTTATTCCAACTCTTAATCTGCAGACTGTCCAATCCACCTCCACTCTATTTTTAGACATCTTATATTTAAGATTTTCGGTAAAAAGCTAATATTTTAATTATTGCATTGGCACCAGCAGTTAAGTTATTTTTAAAACCTTAAATTAAAACACATAATTCAGATTAGAGTTAGTCAATTAATTTAAATATTCCCTCAAGGAAGCTAAATATTTATATTACTCAAGTAGTAAGAATAATTAATAAGAAATGTGTCATTTACTTTTTTAGCCATTGAGGTTAAAGCTATTAACTGCCATTAAAATCTGTTAACTATTTCTTCCTACAAGGTCCAACCAACATCCTATATAATAAAAGCCTAATATGCTAAGTGTCTGGTCATCCGATCATCTGTTCAACCAATCAAATCATAATATGCTAATGATATGCTAAGGCTTGCTATGATGTGCACTGACCACCACTGGGCAGGCGCTCCGACTGGTAGGTTAGCTTACTGCTGGGGTCTGGCAGATCAAGACTGAGCGAGTTGGGCCAGACATGCCCTGGAGCCCTCCCACGGTCCCTCCCCAGCTGGCCAACCTCCCGTGTCCCTCCCCAGCCCCGATCATGCATGCGTGGGGTTCCTCAGGCTGGCCTGCACCCTCTCAAAATCCAGGACCCCCTCAGGGGATGTTGGAGAGACAGTTTTGGCCCAATCCCACTCAACGCAGGAGTTGCCCCTTGGTGGTCAGTGTGCTCCCACAGGGGGAGTGCCGCTCAGCCAGAAGCCAGGCTCACAGCTGGCAAGCACAACAGTGGTGGCAGGAGCCTCTCCCATCTCCGCGGCAGTGCTGAGGATGTCCGACTGATGGTTTAGGCCCGCTCCCTGGGGGACATCCCCCAAGGGTTCCTGGACTGTGAAGGGGGCCCAGGCCAGGCTGAGCGACCCTCCCCAAGTACACAAGTTTCGTGCACCGGGCCTCTAGTAAACATTATAATACTCATGATAAACTTTCATTACCTTTAGCACTGAAATGTTTTATTTTCACATGGCAAAATAGTAAGTGTACAAACACATAACTGGTACTGATTATTTAAAAACACCACTCTCTCATGCAAATAAAAACTCAATGAAAGAAGAACAGAGGTTTCTAAAAGTCAGTAGGCAAATATGTAGTACTGTGGTCATATTAATAAACCTGATACTATATTTTACAAGCATAAGTCCAATTTTGAAATAAAGGAAACTGAGAAATAAGGCCTGCTGAGCCTTACTCCTAATTTATGTTCTGCATTGATTAAACATTTCATCCCTTATGTCTAATTCTCTGTTTTGGTAGTATCCATTTTTGAAGGTTGAAAATGGGCTCTCAAGTATATTATTATATCATCACATCTTGCTTCTGAAAGAGTCTTCAGTGGGAGCTTTTTAGACAATCAGAATGAGCGTTCCACCCCAGACCTACTGAACCAGAATCTGCCTTTTAATCAGCCCCTGGGTGGTTCCTAAGTACATTAGTGTGAAGAATGCTGTCTATACTGCAAGGGCTCTGTCTACACGAATTTGGCCACAGATGCAGAATTTAATTCCTCTATTCCTTTTTTTTATCCCCTCCCTCTTTTATTATTTGTACTTTATAATGAAAACTTGTTACATTTTATGCTTTGGTTAAATTGTACTGCATTTCAGAAGAGCTGTGATCTTTGCACAAATCTGTCCCATCATTACCAAGAGAACGCTGAGGAATGTCCTGGGGTCTTGAATGTGAAAGTTTTCTTCACGGCAGCAGAGGGAGCACAAGAGTACTTAATAAAATAAGTGTACAGGCCGTCCAAATCATAAGGGATATTAAATTGTAGTATATGTTTTCATTGGCCTAGCTTACCAGGTTAAGGCAACTAAATATCAAACAGATTGGAAGTTCACTATAGACGTACTTATTCGGAGATGTAGGCTTGAGTTCTTAAAAGAAAGTGGACCTCAAAAGACCTTGGAAAAGATGCCTTAACTTTCATTATGTCACAATATATGGAATTTAAGCCAGTGTGCTGTATGCCTTAAACTTACAGTGTGATGTATGTCAATTATTTCTCAATAAAGTCAGAAAAAAAGAAAGGTGACTTATAGAATAAGGCAACTTTAAGAGTAACTTCTATTTATTTTTAAATGTTGGGGGGTCCCCTGGTCGTGTTGCTCAGTGATTGAGCATTGATCCATGAACTGAGGGATCACAGTTCAATTCCAGGTCAGGCAGGGCACGTGCCTGGGTTGGCAGGCTCCATCCCGAGTAGGGGGAGTACAGGAAGCAGCGGATCAATGATTATCTCTCATCATTGATGTTTCTCTCTCTCTCCCTCTCCCTTCCTCTCTGAAATCAATAAAAACAAATATAAGTAATAATAAAAAAATAAAATGTTGGAGGTCAATTAACCCAACAGTATGTCAGATAAATTTATTTCATTGGGATTTGAATCTGTTTAGGAAAGAATGCAC